GTCGACGAAAGAGGGGGAGGCCTTCAACGAGATGGATTGATACAGTGGCTGCGATGATGGGCTCAAGTATAGCAGGGATTGTGGGGCTGGCGCGGGATCAGGCAGTGTTTTGTTCTGCTGTGCATGGAGTTGCTATGAGTCAGAAACGACTCGACGGCACTTAACAACAACAACATAACAACAACAACAGTGTTTTGATCCAGTGGGTTTTCCTACGGGATGAGTCACACTGGCTTCCTGTCATCAGCTGATTGGGGCTTAGGCAGAGGGGAGAGTTAGTTCCCAGTAACTTTGTTCTTCTCTGTCCCACTGCGCATGACCCCAGGCCACAGTTAATTTTCAAGTTGTTTTCTAAGACACATTAACGGTTTATCACCTTTGCCTAAGGAAACAGCAGGAAAGAATTTTTTTGTTTTTTGGGTTTTTTTCCATTCAGTTCTTAAGGAACTAAGCTTATTGTATTTACTCATCTGTTTCCTACTGGGGTCAGGGTGGGGAAATAGTTGAGAGTAATTAAGTTTACATATATATTCCCATCCTGGGTTCTATCTGTTCTAGTGATCTGTTTTAACCGGAGTAGGGAAATAGTTGTGACTTTACTTGGTTTCAGTATCACTCATACAAGGAGATCAGATGGTGCAATGGTTAAAGCATTTGGCTGCTAACTGAAAGGTCAGTGGTTTGAACCCACTAGCTGTTCTGTGAAAGATGAGGCAGTCTACTTCTGTCGAGATTATAGCCTTGGAACCCATGTGGGGCACGGGTTCTACTCTGTCCTGTAGGGTTGTCCACTATGAGTTGGAATCAACTCAGTGGCAGTGTGTTTTTGTCACTCATTACAAGAAGCTCTGGTGGTGCAGTGGTTAAGTGCTCAGCTTCTAACCAAAATGTCAGTGGTCCAAACTCACCAGCTGTTCCACTGAAGAAAGTTGTGGCAGTCTGCTTCCATAAAGACTACAGCCTTAGAAACCCTTGAGGCATTTCTCCTCTGTCCTAAGGGGTTGCCATGAGTCAGAGTCAACTCAATGGCATCCAGCAACCACCACCACTGTATCACTCACACAAACAGTTAAGCTCTCCACTACTATCCAAAAGGTTAGTGGTTCAAGACCACCAAAAGGCTATTCAGGAGGCCTGGTGATCTAAAAAGTCAGCCACTGAAAACTCGACTGAGTGCCGTGTACTCCGACACACATAAGGTCACCATGAGTCCAAGTCAAGTCCATAGCAATTGGTTTGGGCTTTGTAGGGGGGTGGGTCACGCACACATCTCACCAAGGTCCTCTTGTTTTATCCCACCTGATAGATGGTTTCATGAAGGCCTCTCACGACACCAAGCAGAGAACTTACTCATGGGTAAGGAGATCGGTTTCTTCATCATCCGTGCCAGCCAGAGCTCCCCTGGAGACTTCTCCATCTCCGTCAGGTACTGGCCATTCCTGACCCCAGGCTGACCCCATCAGCCCATAACTGCACCGACAACTGAAGCCATGAGGTGACTACCAGAATATGACCAAATGACCAGAAATATGGGAGGCCAAGGGGACCAGGATCTTATCAACTGTGATGCATGTCCTTCCCATGACACTTGTATATGACCCTGTAGTACACTGGTTTGTGTTCAAAATTATTTGGACACTCATCCCCTCCCGCTCAAGCTCTGGTGCTTCTAGAAGGACAAGATTTTTTCAAGTTCATTGGTGTGCCTTTGATAGTGCCTTGCGCATAGTAGACACTCAATGACTATTTGTGGATGGAAGGAATCCCGATTGTACCAACCCCTCTTGGGTTTAACTCTTCAGGTTTTCTCTTACTACTGACATATGTCTGAAGAAAGAGTCCTAGAAAAATGGAAATAGTCTTTTTGTGGTTGTAAGTGGCTGAACAAAAACCAAGGCTAAAGAGCTATTTCAGCAAGGTTCAATGCAGGAAAACTGAGACCACCAGAGCAGAGCTGGGGAGGGCGAGGGGTAGAGGGCCTGTAACAGTAGAATCCTGGGAGCGTGCAGCAGCCAGGAAGGTGTGACCTGGGTCACGCATCTGCATTACGCAGCCCCACGCGCAGAAGCCCCAACTCTGAATCACCTGTGCACGTGGTCAGCATGCCGGAGATTCCAAGTCACCTCTCAGGCTTGGAGACCACATTTGAGAGTGCAGGAACGAATGCTGACAGCAGAACACATGACAACCTGTACAGTAAAACCTGACTGTCAAGCTAACTCACAGGAATTGCTGGTCTGGATTCTTCTGTATTTTGAAAGGCATGCAATGTAGTTTTATTGCTTTAAGTACATTCATCTGGGGAGCTAGGTGAACTGTGGCAACTTTACTGTTTAGAAAGAGTGGTATTTTAGAGAAGAGACAGGAATGACTTACCAATAATAACTTACAAAGGTAACCATTTGTACATACCTGTGAGTCCTTGGGTGGCACAAAGGGTTAAGCACTCAACTACCAAAACATTGAAAGTTTGAATACACCCAGATGTGCCTCTGAAGAAAAACCTGGAGATGTGCTTCCAAAAGGTGACAGCCTTGACTACTCGATGGAGCACAGTTCCACTCTGCACACACAGGGTCACCACGAGTTGGGACTGACTCAACGGCAACTGGCTTGGCTTTCTTGTTTTGTTTTGGTTTGGTTTGGGTGCCTTTAAGCTGCTTGAAAAGAGTTTGGTCTTTTTAGCATTGTCCTTGCAACCTTGCTGAAACTCTTAACTATCCTTCACTAAAGCCTTCATTTTCACCCTCGTGTAGTGATAAACATTAGCCCAGGCCAACACTGATGGGTCATAAATTCTAAACTTATCAGAAATGAAATCTTTCTCTTTTAAGAAATCTTACAAATCGAACCTACTTTTTAAGAGCTCGGACTGCCCCATAAGGCTTCCAAGGCTGTAAACGTTTCTGGAAGCAGTATGCCTCATCTTTCTCCCTTGGAGTAGCCAGTGGATTCGAACCACCGACCTTTTGGTCAGCAGCTGAATGCTTTAGCTGCTATGCCACCAAAGCTCCTTTTGGTCAGAGAGCAGACCAAGTAAATCTCTAGATTAAAGGGCATCTCTTGCTGCCTTTGGTTTGCATGAATTTGACTCTGGGTTTCTCAGCCAGGAATTCTGGCTTATCCTTCCTTGGTTAAAGTGAATTGTGTGTAACGGCCAGCCTTGGTTTCTGCCAGAATCTTCCCCTGGTTTGAGGCAATGCACCTTCTTATTGTGGTGATTATTACCATAATCATCATTACACCTTCTGCAAAAATGCAGCATAATATATTCCAAAGTAAAAGCATTTTTATTTATTTATACATCTGCTTTCTGTCGTGAGCACAGATAATAAGAACTAATTGTAGTTCCAGCACTCAACATTTGTCAGGTATGTGAAACAGACTTGAGAGTCTGGAGCCTGGAGCTGTATCCTTGTCTCTGCTCCTCTCAGGAGCCGAGACGGCATCAGGCTATTCTCTCTCCATAGACCTAGGTAACCAAGTGCACCCTGACCTTCATCTTCACAGCTTAGAAAAGGGTTAACGTTTTGTACGCTCAGTTCTTTGACTAAAGGCACAGGAAGAATAATTATATCCTAAGAATATTTTCTCCTCCTCACTCAGATGTGAGGAATAATGACTATGAGCTGAACCGTGTGGTCTGAGAGTGCAAACATGAAAATCCAAGGAGAAGAGTGTGTAGTAATGGTAACATGTGGATCACTGCCTCAAGGCAGTGAAGCAAGAGGTTACCTAGCTATGAGCAGAGCCCAGCCCACCAGTGTGAGAGAGAAGCTGGGAATTTCTATCCCCTTCTGAACACAGCCCACTAAATCCATTTCTAAGAAACCAACATTAATTTTCCAAGGTATCTTTATGCTCCACGACCCCTTAAATTCTTAGCCTTTCTAGTGGACCAGGCAATTTGTATCATTAGTGCTGGTTCATCTTAAGATATGAACGTATATTCCATATGCAATTGAAACATAACAGGAGGCAAAGTCAGGATAACTTCTTAGCCACAAATAAGCACCTTGAGGGACATAGAGAAATAGTAATAATAAAAGATGTGAATGTATGTCTGTAGGAAACATAAACATTACATCCAAAAGAGAAGGACATGGTGGTGATGGAGTAACACTGAAGCTAAAAATAATGGACCAATAAAATAAAATAAAGGACCAGTCCCCCTCTCCCGATGGATACAGTCCAGCTTCTCCAACCTTGGCCTAATGTGCCCACCACTTATGTGTCCAGACTAAGAGCAAAAGGGCTGATCTAAAAGAAATTAAGAAATAAAAAACAAAACCAGTAGTTGTCGAGTTAATTCTGACTCGTGACGACCCCATATGTGTCAGAATCCCTGCTCCACAGGGATTCCAGCGGCTGATTTATCAGCAGTAGGTCTCCAGGCATCTGGGTGGACTAGAACCTCTAACCTTTGTCAGAGCATGTTCACTGTCTGCAGCACCCGGGACTCCAAGAGAAGTCGGCATGTTTGAATGGTGAGCAGGCCAAGCTCACTAGACTGGGCTCAGAGACCTGGGGTTCCTGTCTCAGTTTTGCCACTCATTCACAGTGACCTTGACCAGGCCTCTTCACTCCTCTGAGCCTGTGTCCTCAGCTGTAAAATGGATATGTGAGGCGAAACAATCTCTGACATCCTTTCCAATCATAAAACTCGATATAATGTGTTTTTCTAGACATTTCTATGTAACAGGTTTTTTTTTTAAAAAAAAGTTTGAAATACTTTGTAACTTTATTTATGCAAAACTTAAACCAAAAGCAAGAAATCCCCATGACACAGAGAACAACGTGTGACACGTTTCTCACGGAGGGAGGAAGGTACTTTCATCAGCTGACCAAACCAAACCAAACCAAACCAAACCCACTGCCGTCAGGTTGATTCCAGCTCATAGCAAACCCTGTAGCACAGAGAGCTGCCCCACAAGGTTTCCAAGGCTGTAATCTTTATGGAAACAGACTGATGTTCTTTCTCCCAAGGAGCCACTAGGTGGGTTTAAACTGCCGACCTTCTGGCTAGCAGGTGAGCACTTAACCACTGCACCACCAGATCTCCTTCCTACCAGCTTGTGCTAGTTTAGAGAGTTAAAGGAGATGGGTCCAACGATTTCTGAAACCCCTCCCGTCTGAGTCGTTAGCATAGGACAAGACTCACCGGTATAGGCATTGCCATGTTTCAGATCACCTTTGTGAAAAAGGTCCTTGACCTCTAAGTCCTTAAAACTAAAAAATAAAACTCTTTGTTTTCAAGTTGACTGACTCATGGCAACCCGTTCTTACCGAGTAGAACTGCTCCATGGGGTTTTCTCGGCTGTAGTCTTTGCAGAAGGTGAACACCAGGCCTGTCTTCCGCAGCACTTCAGTCAAGCCAAAACCATTTGCATCACCCAGGGACCTCTCTGGGAGCTCTGATGGTGCAGTGCCTAAGGCACTTGACTGCTAGCCAGAAGGCTGGCGGTTCAAACCCACCAGCCACTCTGTGGAAAAAAAGACTAGGCAATCTACTTCCATAAAGATTTAGCACCTTGGAAACCCAAAGGGAGTTGCTATGGGTTGGAATCGACTTGATGGCATTGAGTTTGGTTTAGGTCTGGAGAATAACTGAAAAGGGCCCTGGTGGTGCAGGGTTCAGTGTTGCTACCCAACATGTCAGCTGTTCGAACCTACCAGTCTCTCGGCGGAAGAAAGAGGTAGCAATGTGCTTCCATAAAGATTACAGTCTTGGAAACCCTTTGGGCAGTTCTGCTCTGTTCTACTCTGTCCCATAGGGCAGCTATGAGATGACAGCAGCAGGTTTAGAGTAATTTGTGTCCTGAGCTGTCCCTCCCACAAACCTCCTGCTAAAGCTGGACAGGGCAGCCCACCGGCCCAATGACAGGTAACCCCTTGACGCCTCCATTCCCTGCCCACACAGAACTCCGGCATCCCCAGACACACACAGCCCTGGGGCCGGGGCCTTCTCACTGCGTGCAATCCAACTGTGTTTGCTTGCTCTCCAGGCACGAGGATGACGTGCAACACTTCAAGGTCATGCGAGACAACAAGGGAAATTACTTCCTGTGGACAGAGAAGTTTCCATCCCTAAATAAGCTGGTGGACTTCTACAGGACAACGTCCGTCTCCAAGCAGAAGCAGATCTTCCTGAGGGACAGAAGCCGAGAGGATCAGGTACACGGGTGGGAGCTGCCCCGTTGACCCCCGTCAGAGAGGCCTCCGTGAGACACCTGCATTTGAGGCAGGTCCTCGGGGTCCTCCGAAAGGCAGAATCACTCAAATCAGACAGATCTCAGTTTAAACACTAGCTTCACACTTCCAAGATAGGGGACTCCAGAAAGTTCTCTGGTCCCCAGTTTCTTCACCCATAATAATGACATTATAATGATATCCACCTCACACGGTGGGTGTGAAGATTAGAGAAGACACTGGCTCTCCATCCCTGGCATTCTTCCTAATCATGCAGTAAGCATTCAGCAAACATTAACTTTCATTGCGGATGCTGTTTCATTAAGGAGCCCTGGTGGTGCAACGGTTAAGCTCTCAGCTGCTAACTGAGAAGCTGCCGTTTTGAACTCATCAGCCACTCTGCAGGGGAAATAAAAGACCTGAAGATCTGCCCCCGTAAAGATTAAACTAAACCTATTACCGTTGAGTTGATTCCGTCGCACAGCAACTCCGTAAGAGGGAGCAGAACGGCCCCATAGGGTTTCCAAGGCTGTAATTTTTATGGAAGCCAAACGCTTAACCCCTACACTACCAGAGCTCCTCCTATAAAGATTACAGCCTACGGAGTCTATGGGCCAGTTCTACTCTGTCCTGTAAAGTCACTATGAGTTGGGATCGACTTGATGGCCAAACAAGGCTGTTTGGTCATATATGGTTTTCAGCCTGGACTCAGGAGCTGTCCGTGGATGCAGAGGATCAGAGTGGGGACATTACAGACAGAGACAGCAGAGAAAAGCGTAGACTCCAAAACCAAAGCAGCAGCTAGAGGTCTGTGGCAGGAGTGAGGCTGGGGGAGGAGCCCTGCGGGAGAGGATTAGACCTGGACTTCTGGCTCTTGAAACAGTATTGTTTTCACAGACAGCGTCCAGTTACTGCATCACACAGACCTGGCTTTCAACCCTCATTTCCTAACTACCCACACCACTTAGCCAAGTTACAACCTCCTTCTGAGTATCCGTTTTCTCATGTGTGGAACAGGGATTAAAATAACGGCTCCTTCACTGGGCTGGTGTGAGGATTCAGTGAGACAATCGAGTTGCCGCACTTGACACAGTGTCTGGTTCACAATCTGTTGTTAGCTTCTGTTGAGTTGGCCTTCGACTCATGGTGACGCCACGCACGATGGTACAAAATGCATCCCCGTGACTGACTGCAGATCGGGTAGTTCGATCCCGAGGGTTTTCACTGGCTGGTCTTTGGAAGCAAATCACCAGGCCTTTCCTCCTGGTCCATCTTTGTCTGGAAGCTTCACTGAGGCCCATTGAGCGTCACAGCAGAACACAAGCGTCCACTGACAGGCGGTGGGTGGTGGTGGCTGCACAAGGCATGCATTGGCAGGGACTGGGACCCAGGTCCCCAAATGGGAGAATTCTACCAGTAAGCACCAGTGTCCTCCCTGGTTCACAGCAGGCACTGAGGAAACGTTACCTTGCCTTCCATAAACTCACACACACACACACACACACATTTTGCAGAATATTTTCAAAGGACCAGAGACAGGTTATTTGAAAAGACATTGAGGTTTTTGAAGCAACATGTGCTTCTGGGAACTAAAGGACCCCTACTCCTTCAGGTAATGTCTTGATTTGAAACCTGAGAAGTTTGAACCAAAGGAGAAAAGGGTGTTCCCACCAAGTGCATACAAAAGTTCAGGAAGGAAAACAAAGATGGCCCAAGGTGTCATGAATTCTTTTAACCAGGAAACGGATGGCAGGATTAATTTACCAGGATGTACCTTCAGAGATGAGAAAGGCAACATGAAACCGGATTAAATGATTTAATATTGCAAAGCGCTTAGTATAGTGCCTGGCACATACCAGGCCCAGGGCCCTGTGTAAGTGTTTGCTAAATAAAAAATACCAACAAAGCATTTCTGAGGCACGAGGTTGTTAGAACGTTAAGTAGAAAAGGTCTTGTTCTTTCCCACCATGACCAACGGCAGGCCTGGTTTCCATGGTGCTATGAGAACGCTGCTGTGTGGGTCTCTATCACCAGGCTATAAATGACAGTTCAAATCACGCAAAGTCAACAGCAGAGCTCATCCGGAAGGTAGGATGTCCAGCAGCGTGGCAACATGCGATAAGAAGGAATGGCATTTTACCAGTGAAGTAAAATATTTCAGCCTGGTTACACAGAGAACAAGCCTCCCAGGAAAGAACTCAGTGGGCAGAAGGGGAACTAGAGTCTCCACCTCCAAAAACTGGTAGAAGCTGAGAAAGCAGAGGCCACTGTGGGAAATGTGAGGGGCTGACCCATCGACTCTCTTTCGCTGTCCCCCGCCCCATCAGCTGCTTGGTGGAGCTATACTGAGCCAAGCCAGGCAGCGGCTGCCAGAAAATGGAGCAGGACCAGGAGATGCAGGGAGGATGGGTTTGCATCATCTTTGTTCTTTTCTCCCAGGGTCGCCGGGGCAATAGCCTGGACCAGAGGCCCCAAGGAGGGCCACACCTCAGTGGAGCCGTGGGAGAAGAAATGCGGCCCTCGATGAACCGCAAGCTGTCTGACCACCCGCCTCCGGGCCCCTCCCAGTACCACCTGCATCAGCAGCCCCCTCCGCAGTATCCCGCGGCAACGCAGCCACCGCAGCAGCGGTACCTCCAGCAGCAGCATCTCCATCAGGTATCTAGAGAAGGAGGAAGCGGAACACAATGAAGTGGGGAGGACAGTCTGCCCTCCTCCCTGGCTCAGGCCATCTGGTCCCCACTACCACTCAGTGCTTGCAAACAGCAGCTCCCAGTGCTGGAAAACGGGCACAGCACAGAAACCTTGGGGTCTGTCGTGGTCCAGGGGCTGCTGCCAGGGCAGGAGCCGCCATGTCCTATCTGGACTCACCAGCTCAGGTCACTTACAGGGTTCACAAAGAATGAACCCCCCAGAATGGGGGAAACATGACAACTGCTCTTGGTGAAGAAATCTCCGTGAATTCAGTGGCTGCCTGCCCGAGGATACACCCATAAACACAGACACACTTCCTCGGAGGATTCAGTGAACAACTTAATGTCCTATCAGCACAATTCCAAATCTATTCATGTACCGCCCCCCAACTCATCAGGCTGCAGGAGCCACAAGAAAGAAGGATTAACACCTGCCATGAAGCCTTGCTTATTTCTTTATTTATTCCCCTCGGCCTTGCTCCAGAAGGGATTTTAAATGGCTTACAGAGTTGGACAATGCAGCCAGATAACATCATTCCTAAGTTCCTTCCAGGCCATACAAATTCCTTTGTGTGCTGTTTCCCCAGCCCTCCCTGCTGCTACTCGCTACTTCCCCACACAAATACATCTTCCACGCACCTGCATGGCCCATTGCGTGTTCTCCCATGCCTTTGTGGCTTCGTAATATGCCCCTTCCTTCTACCTGAAAGGCCCTCCCCTGGCTGGTCCTATTCCTCCTTGAAGCTAGAGTTCAAATACCACTTCCTCCTTGAAGCTTTCCCTGATTACCCAGCTGCCATGGGCACGCCTCTCTGCTCACTAGAGTACTTGTCGCAGACACTTGTGTGTTTCTCCCTCCTTTTCAAAGGAAATGACACAGCTCACCAGGGACAGGTTATTTGAAAAGACATTGAGGCTTTTGAAGCAACATGTGCTTTGGGGAACTAAAGGATCCTTCCTCATTTAGGTAATGCCTTGATTTGAAGCCTGAGAAGTTTGAACCAAAGGAGAAAAGGGTGTTCCCACCAAGTGCATACAAAAGTTCAGGAGGGAAAACAAAGATGGCCCAAGGTCTTGGGAATTCCAAGAGCAGTTTTCATGCTTCCCCCATTCCGGGGGCCCAGGGTCTTCTGTAAGTGACCTGAGCTGGTGAAACCAGGTAAGACATGGCGCCTCCTCCCCTGGCAGCAGCCCCTGGACCACAACAGGCCCCAAGGTTTCTTTGTTGTGCCTGTTTCCAGCATTGGGGCTGTTTTCAAGCACTAAGAGGCAGTGGGGACCAGATGACAGGAACCTCATCTTTCCAATGAGAAATTTCTGGTCTTGGTAGGTGCCCGATCAATAATTCTAATCCTGGTCATGGGAGCTCTGGTGGCGTCGTGCCTAAGACATTTGACTGCTAACCAGAAGGCTGGTGGTTCAAACCCACCAGCCACTCCTCGGAAGTAAGGTTGGGCAATAGACTTCTGTAGTGATACTGCCTCAGAAACCCAAGGAGGGGTCGCTATGAGTCAGATCCGACTCGACGGCAGTGAGTTTGGTTATGGTTTGGTGGTCACGGCAGGTCCCTGATCTGATCAATAATTCTTGGTTGAGTGGGTGAAACCTGCCATCTTCTTTGCCTACAGCATCTAAGGCTCTTGGGCCTCTCTCTCCATGGTTGCCAATTACCTTCCACTGAGTCAGTCCCGACACATAACAGCCCCATGCAGAATGGAACAAGGCGTTACTCAGGCCAGCACCATCCCCCTGATCGGTTGAGGACTGGACCATTGTGATCCATGAACTTTTTTTTTTAATAATAAGAATACAGATAACACAACTTTTGCCAATTTTTCACGTGTACAATTTAGTGAGACCGGTCCATCTACAGGGTTTTCATTGATGCTTTTGTAGAAGTGGGTTGGCAGGTCTTTCTCCCTAGTCCCTCTATAGTCCAGAAGTGCTGATGCAACCTGTTCAGCCTCACGGCAACACGCGAGCCTCCATGGTCAGACAAGTGGGGAGGTGTATCAGCCGTGAATTGAACCCATGTCTCCCACGTTGGAGTGAGGATTCTATCACGGAACCACTCATGCTCTCTCCACTGCTCTTGTTGATGCTGGGTGCTGCTCAGCTGATACCAACTACAGTGACCTCTGGTAGCGTAGTGCCTAAGGGACTTGTCTGCTAACCAGAAGGCTGGTGGTTCAAACCCACCAGCCACTTCTCGGAAGGAAGGTTGAGCAATCTACTTCCGTAGTGATACTGCCTCAGAAACCCAAGGAGGGGTCGCTATGAGTTGGGTCCGACTCGATGGTACATCACAACAACAACAACAACCGTGACCTTATGGGACAGAATAGAACTGCCCCACTGGGTTTCCTAGGCTGTAATCTTTATGGAAACAAGACTTTGTGGTCCTTTCTCCCACAAAGCCACTCGTGGATTTGAACTGCCAGCCTTTCAGTGCACTTAACCTGCCAGGGCTCCTAACTCTCTCCATGACCTGTAGTTTATTCCTATAATCCCGGCTGTGTGTGCAAGATGCTACTGACCATGTGTGATGGGTCCTCTCTCTCCTGTTTCTAGGAACGCCGTGGAGGTAGCCTGGACATAAACGACGGGCACTGTGGCCTGGGCGTGGGCAGTGACATGAATGCTGCCCTCATGCACAGGAGGCACACAGACCCGGTACAACTCCAAGTGGCAGGGGTATGTGAGCTTTCCCTCTCCGGACTCCCTGGGCAAGGACCACGGGGACAGAGCTCAAAATGAAAAGGCGAGATGGGGAATTAGAAAAATGGTTGGTCTCCCGAGAGAGACCTCAAACTGCACAGAGATCAAAGTAGAGGGGGTGGAACCAAGGGAGTGATGGCAGGAAGAGAGCCCTGGAGCCAGGCTGCCCTCACTCAGCCTGCCACCACCCGGTCTCCTCATCAGTTGCTTGCAGGGCCTGGTCCTGCTCACACATTTTTTGACTCTAATTCTGCGGTGACAGGTCTGCTGCATTTATGGTGCGGTCCATATCATACATTGATGCGGAGTGTAGTTCTCAAGGCTTCTCTTGGGGCCTTGGAGAATAACATCTCTGAGGGTACAAGTCCTGGGACTCAGGAATTCCTCTGCTGAGTTCTGGGGACTTGGTGCTCAGGGCTGAGCATCCCAGTTCTGCTTTAAGTTGGGAACTGAAGGCACATGTCGCCCTTTAGGGAGGGTTATCCTCTTCTGTGTCATGGGGCCTTCAGAGGAAACCCCGGCCAACCCATGGCTCAGAAGAACCTGTGCTTTCCCTCCCAACAGCGCGTGCGGTGGGCCCGGGCTCTGTACGACTTCGAAGCCCTCGAGGATGACGAGCTGGGCTTCTGCAGCGGAGAGGTGGTTGAAGTCCTGGATAGCTCTAACCCGTCCTGGTGGACGGGCCGTCTGCACAACAAACTGGGCCTCTTCCCTGCCAACTATGTCGCACCCATGACACGATGAGGACTCTCCGGAAGGGTCAGAGGCTTTTGATCTGAAGCTGCCGGCAAGAGCAGGGGCGAGGACAAAAGCTGGACTAGACTCGTTTGTCTGTGCATACACACAACATTTTACGATAGTAATTTATTGGCAATTTGGTTCATTAGTTAATATGGAAGGGACTCAGTGGAGAGTTATATTCACACTTATTTCCGCATCCCTCAGTGGGTTTGCAGAAGTCAGTGGGGGCACTGGGGAGTACAGGGACAGAGAAATGAAACAGAATTCTTCCTGTCCTCAACATTTCACCACTTCCTCCTTGCCTCACGGGTTTTCACTGAGAGCCCCACACCCCGGCATTGCATGCAGAACAGCAGGGTGGGGTTGGACTTGGTTGGGCACGTTTTGGCTTACCTGCAAGCCCTAGTCCCACTAAGGGTTTGCAGGCCGGCTTCCCTCCTCTTCCCGGAGGGTGGGCGCTGCTGGCTTGGGAAGGAAGGTGGAGCAGGCAATCAGGCAAGTCCGAGCTTGGAGGCGGGGAAGGGTGTGAAGGCAAGACGGGAGAAGCAGGTGTCCCAAGGCCTGTGGCGGAGGCCCTGCCTGGGCAACACTGCCTCTGGCCTCCAATTCATTGCCTGGAGGAGAGTTTCATCTTCCTCAATGGGACGTCCCTTGGGTCATCCTCATGGCTGACATGAGAGAGTTTCTCTAATACAGAGAAACAGGCCTTGTGAGGAACCAACCTCTGAGAAATCGAGGGACTTCCCACAAACCCTCCAGTGAGTTGCCTGGATGGCACCTCTGTTTCCCCAGCTCTGAGGAACGTAGCACCTGGATGGTGGAATGTGCCCAGAGAACCCTGGTGAGAAGGCTGAACGTTGAGAGACATGGTTGTATGGTCACAAGGGTGTCTCTTCTGGACTCTGTTGGTTCACCCTCTCGATGGTCTGTGTTCTGAAGAGGCCCATGGCCGAGGAAAAAGCCCACTGCACAGGAGCAGTCACTAGGGATTGAGTGATAGATGTGCAGTGACTCTGGGTGGAAGCTGGCTTCGAGACAAGCATCCTGCTTGATCTGTTGGTCCCCTACTGTCTTCCCTCCCCAAGAGAGAACCCCACTGTCACTATCTCTCCTGTCTCCCCAGACTAGAACTGTGTTGCCTAGCCTCACCCCAGGGGGGAAGCACAGACGTATGCTGGCTGGGGGGGAAGGGACACAGGAGAAGGAAGCCCAGCATTTCAATGGTATCTGCACTGAGGACATTTGGAAGGCACTCATCCTTCAGAACCCACATGCACTCTGCCTATAAAGGAGCATGTGTGCATGTGCGTCCGAGTGCACATGCGCCGAGACACAAAAGGGCTGTAGTGAGAGTGATGATGAGGGAGTGAGTGGGGGTGAGTGGGGGCCCTGTTCCTTTGTTTCTCTTCCCAGCCTTTTTTGCTCCAAGGAGGGACAGGGGGCAGCCATTGTTGCAGGTGTTCTGAGAAGAAAGAGTTTCTGACTCTGAAGTAACTGTCAGTGGACATAAGCGGTGTCCCTTCTGACTCTGACCCTCCGATTCTCTGATCCCCACACTCCCTTTTGAGAACAAGGGAAAAAGAATGGACTCTGTGGTGGGTCTTGGGCGGGAAGAGAAAATAGCCTGGAAGAGGCAGGGGGGTGGGGGGAACAGAGAGGGAGTACTGCGAGGCAAGGGAAGGAAGAGGCAGGGAAGACGTTTCAAAAGATCAAGGAGCAGCAGGACAGGCACGAGGAGAGGGAGGGAACAAGAGGTTAAGTGGGACGAGTTAGGCAGAAACTGGGTAATGAGTCAATGGGCAGACAAAAGACAGGGAGGGGGCCTGGGGGAAGGGAAAAGGAAGAATTAGAGCCAGAGGATGAACACTGGGGAAGGCAGGGGGACAAAGAAGCCACCACAAAGGGAGAAAAGAACTGAGAGCGAGAACAGCAAGGCAAGGAAGACCTAAGAAGCTGTTGTGGTGGCAGGTAATGTGAAAACGGTACAGTAAATACAAGCCAGACGTAACCTGGGACTCGACAGTATTTACACACCCTGTGCTTGGAACAGCCCACTGGCTTCATCCACTTGTCTGATTAGGTGGGAGGACCAGCCCCAGAGAAGTCAGAGGGAAATGATTTTGGTCCTTGTGTCGATTCCGTGCCTCGAAACGCTTCTCAAGACAGCAGTAATAAAACAAGTGCCCGTATTGTGCCACGCTGTGTCTGCCGTTTGTGTCACACCCATGCAAGTGGGGGTTAGGGGTGCCACCAGGGGTCGCAGGGTTCATTGCTGGGAAGAGGCGGGCCACTTGGAGTGTGAGCAGAGCTCTCAGAAGCCCTGAAACTGGGTGCTCTGTCCCCCCAAGGCCATCAAGCAGGGGGTATTTTTATTGAGTGCTAAAAGCACCTTGTTTCTGCTGATCAGTGTGTCTGCGACTCCGAAGGCAAGAGAGTCACCCAAGCCACCCACAGAGGACAGGGCTCTTAGGGCTCAAGCTAAGAAGATGAGGACCAAATTGTCCACACTGGGAGAAGGGGAACCCCAAATCTACTGGGCCTCTGGTGCTGCCTAAGGAGCACCCAGAGAGTTGCCCCCATACCACCCCCAGGTTTCCGCCTGACAGCACCTTGGCATCTCTCTCCAGCCACACAACCAACAGCGTGCTGTCTTTGAGTTCTGCTGAAATTCTCTGCGTGACTTGGGAGCAGGGAACTTCCAGAGAAAAGCCAGTTCCTGTTGGACCAGCTGGGTTTTCCTAACCACTTGCCGAGGCTCGCTGCTTGTCAAACATCTGGCGCCTGCCGCTACCCACCTACTTTGACGTCACCTTGGGGAGGTGTTCTCACACTCTAATGTGCCTGCGAACTACCTGGGATCGTGGTAAAATATGGTTCTGATTCAGTCCTGCATTTCTAACTACCTCCCAGGTGAAGGTCCGGTCCATGAACCATACTTTTGAGTGACTAAGACAAGGAACTTGGCTGTGAGCTAAACATCTCCCACAAAAACGGAATTGGATTCCCTTTCTGGGGATATTCAGGCATTTTTTGTTGTTAATGAAGAAGTTACTTTGGCTGTATGACATCATTTGCTGGCCTCACATGACTTATTATCTTAGCATATTCATCTCCACAAGGAATCAAATAACCTTGAGTGAGAGGCATTCAGATGTAATACACATGGGGATTTCCTAAAAGTCGTGAGCAAAGGTTAACAGAAGTTGGGAAAGCTTTCTCAGGAAATCTTTAAAACAGAACACTGACACCCTCACGTGTGGCCCTCGTTGGGGGCAGGGGAATGGCCCACTTTTAGATCTCAGCTAAAAGAACTCATAAAGCCCTAACTAAGCAAAATGGCCCACACTGGGGACAGATGAACGTGGCTGAAATACTCTCCGTTTGCTCTAAATTTAACACTCCAGCCTGTTGGCACCATCGGGCATGAGAACAGCATACATTGTCTCAATTCTTCTTTTAGAACACTTCTCCAGTTCCTTGACTTCTCTCCATCACTATGGCCGTGTCACCACCACCTCTCATTTGGGCAACACCCTTCTTCCTACACAATCCCTTTTTTAAATTAATCGATTTACTTATTTTTTAAATCTTTATAGTGGTGCAGTATTTATAACAAAAACATTTCAACCTCCTTTTCAGAGAACATTTCAGTGACATTTAGTATATTCACCACATTGTCTAATCATCATTACCTATTTCCAAAAGTTTCTCATTACCCCAAACAGAAAGTCAGTACCCCTTAAGCAGTAACTCTACATCTCCCCCTGGGGAAACACCTCCAGGCACCTGGAAACCACTAATAAATTTGAGTTTCTATGCACCTGCCAATTCCAGGTATTTCACGTAAGTGGGATTCTACGGCAGTTGTACTGTGTGTCTGACTTACTTGACTCAGCATGTTATCAATGTTCATCCATGTCACAGCATGTCTGAGAACTTCATTTCTCTTTATGGCTGAGCAATATTCCATTGTATGGACAGATCACATTTTGTTTATTCATTCATCCGTTGATGGGACACTTGGGTCATTTCTCCCTTTCGACGACTGTGAATAAGGCTGTAATGAACTTTGGTGTGTATAAGTTATCAGTTTGATCCCTGCTTTCAAGTCTATTGGGTTTATACCTAGGAGTAGAATTGCTGGGTCATCCCTGAATTCCTTCTTGTCTCCTTCCAAACCACTCTCCACACAGAAGCCAGAGTGACTGCTGTAAAAAAATAAATCTGATCCCATCACTCCCCTTCCAATTACATTCTGTTTCAAATCCAAAGTCTTTGCGTGGCCCAGTGAGATCTGACTCCCTCACCCTCCAGCCTTGCCTCCTGTCTCTCCCCCTTACTCTCATGTCCCTGCCCCACCGGCCGCCTTCCAATGTCCAGAAGGCCAAGGATTTCTCCCCACACCCTTCGCCCTGCTGTTCCCTTTCGTGGAATGCACATCTCTGACTTGTCATCCGCTAACTCCTGTTCATCTCCAGGTCTCTGTTTAGATGGCACTTTCTCAAAGACACCTTCCCTGTCTCCTAATCTAAAATAACCCTCCCCATTAGTCTACCTCATGGCTCCCTTTACTTTTCCTGATAGCACGTTACACAGATGACGACACTCGACTGACTGACAGGCTATTACACTGTAAACCCCATGGGGGCAGGGATGCCATCAGTTTTGTAAGCCACTGTATGCCCAGCATCTGGTACTGTGCATGGCACACAGAGGCTCGAGGGAGGGAGACTGGTATGCCCGTATGTTTCAGTGCCACACAGCCCATCCTCTCTGTCTGTGTTCTGCTGCCTCTACATGCCTTCTTCTGACAGTACCTTCCCTGATGCTGTCAGTCTCCTATGTGCCCCATGTCTCTGCTGGTGGTGACCAGATAGATCTGTTAAGAAACAATGTGGCTACACTGCTGGTGGGACTGTAAAATGGTACAACCATTGTGGAAAGCAGTATGGTGATTCCTTTAAAAGTTGGAATTAGAAATACCATTTGACCCAGCCATCCCA